AATTCCTCATATTATACACAAAAAATAAGCTTTTTTTTCATACTATATTTTGTGAATAAATTATAAGGATGTAAGTTCATAATTGATTTAAAGTGAATAAACCAAAGACTCCTTTAAAACTAAAGAAGTAATAATAAATATTATAAATAAAACATTTGCAATGGTAAAGAGAATACAGTAAACATCCAGAGAAGATTTGTAAATGGAAGGCAAAATGGAAATTACCTAGTAATTTCGATAATTATTTTTCCTATCAAAAAATTTCGAAATCTTAACTAAGACTTGTAAAAATTTTTAATCTTATTTAATTGCTGAAAGAATTTTAAAATAATATTTTAATTAATGGCTATAATTGCTAAACAATAAAAATTATACAACAAATAGCAGAGGAGTTTATTATTTTCTTCAATAAAAATAACAAATAGAAAGTTTCAAATCAACTATTCTATTAATTTTCCACAAAAAAACTTCCTTTTTGTGTAAATAATGTTTTTAAATCTCTGCCTGATTGATTCTGAAATTATCCTTTAAAAATAAGGGCTTCTTGTGCTTAAAATATGGCTTATTTGCAAATAATGAGAATAGGAATATTAGAGGTGACTAAATTTAGTTTAATTAAATACAAAATTCTGAAAGAGGCTTATTTTAAAATAATTGGGTTTTAATTTATACCAAAGCATCTTTTTCATTTGTTTACGAGGGTTAAATTTATTATTTAGTCTTAACATTCCATAAACGGATAGAGGTATCTTTACTACCAGATGCTAAGGTCTTACCATCAGGAGAGAGGTATACCGATAAAACTGGTCCATTATGGCCATCCAATTTTGCTTTTAATTATCCTGCCTTAATATCCCATAAACAAATGGACTTATCACTACTGCCAGATGCTAATGTGCTACCATCAGAAAAGAAGCATACTGAGTTGATTGAAAAACTATGACCTTAAAATTAGGCTTTTTCTTATCCAGACTTAACATCCCATAAACGAATAGACTTATCTCTACTACCAGTTGCTAATGTACTACCATCAGGAGAGAAGCATACCGATAAGACAGATGCACTATGACCATATATTTTGGCTTTTAATTATCCTGCCTTAACATCCCATAAACAGATAGATTTATCGTAACTACCGGATGCAACTATCATACAGTCAGGCGAGAAGCATACTGATGTGACTTAATTACTATGGCCAACTAATTGAGCTTTTAATTATTCCATCTTCAAATCCCATAAACAGATA